CTCTCTCTCTCTCTCTCTCTCTCTCTCTCTCTCTCTCTCTCTCTCTCTCTCTCTCTGTGTGTGTGTGTGTGTGTGTGTGTGTGTGTGTGTGTTCGTGTGTGTGTGTGTTGTTGCAATGCATTTCTATTGCGCCACCTTTTTCTCCCTTTTCTTGTCTGCGTGTTCGAACCGTTCTCGAATGAGTTGGATTCTTTAAGTCACCTGACCACGCGCAAGCAAAAGCCGCAGATTTAATAGCACGCACAACACGGCCATTCGCGTATGTCACTCGAACAAATACACGCACGCACTCACCCGAGTCTCGCTTACTCTCGTCCGTTCGCACAGACAAGAACGTGGATACGGTGAGGGTTGACACACTACTCGACACACACACACGCACTCTCAAGTATACGCTCAATGCACACACGCGCACACAGGTACCAACACCTGGTAATACGCTCAGACATAGACACGACTGCACGCATTCCCTCACAACTGCATATGTATGGACATGCCTATTTCGTTCGACACAAACACGTCGAAAGAAGCACATCCCAGCCCTGAGGCCATCGTGCTCTCTGTCAAGCAGCGCAGATGGCACATGGCCCGAGCTAGATGACAATGCAAACCTCACAAACCCATCAAGTCAGAGATGTGAAGTGACGTATGTCTCTCATTCCGAATTCAGGGAGCACTTACCTGCACCGCAACAAGACTTGCACGTTGACACCTTTCTCTTTGCTGAAGTCCCTCGACATCCTGACAGAATCCTTCCCCGCCGTCTGTATCGGACTCGTATAACTGCCCGCCACTTCGGCAGGCCCGAGTTGCCACAGCGAATGGGAGGTACCTGAGAACAGCTATCTTGACAGAGGCAGAGAGAATGCAGGGGGTTACGTTGCACAATCGGCAGGCCAGGCAAAGAGGCAAAGAGCCAAAAAGCAGCAGAATGCCACACTGTGCACGTTGGAAGCGACAATCAAGGGTCAAGCCAGCGAGAAGAATTACAATCAATAGAAGACCGAAGGAGGCGAGGGATGTGTCTAGTTGACATCGACGAAGACGAGACCCATGAAGACGGTCTTGAAGACCAATGAGATGGAAAGCGAAGGGCAACACCAAAGGAAAAGGTAGCAGAGATGTTTCTTAAGGACGAAATGGAAAAACGTGTCCAATAACAAGCGATGTATCAGAGATCAAAAGCTATGGGCGCCATTTATCAACAGAGGAAGAACAGGGAAATGGAGGAAAAGGTATACAACTCGCGTGTAGGAATCCTATCAACCGGAAACGACAGGTGCGGCGCAGCACTGCGGTGCGTTGTGCGGTGCGCGGTGCACTGGAGCGCGCTCAACCCCGCAGCGTCTATTCTGCAGTGCGCCCGGTGCGCACGGACTGATCTATTTTTTCACAGGTTTTGGCGCTGCTTTGCCGCCATTTCGACCTGCATCAGAACAACACGACACGGAAAGGAAGTCAGCCCTTTCAACTGTGACTCCCCCTCCCAAACACCCACCCTTCCCCGCTCCCCCCCAAAAAACCCACTCCCTCTGAAACCCAGTCCTCCCCTCTTTTCTTTAACCCCCTCTCTAACCACATATCTCTTTGACGCAGCAAATTCGAGCAGCCATTTCTTTTTTTTTTCTTCTTTTTTTTTCTTTTTTTTTTTTTTGAAAACACACCCAGCAGCCATTTCAACATACGAAGGGGAAAAAAAATCAAGTCCACATTCAAACTTCAATGGACGCTTATAACAAAGACGCAAAATGGATGTCGAAGTCCAAAATAAATGGCAATTATAAAAAATAATTAAAGAACATAGAAAGCGAGGGAGGCGGGAGGAGGGATGGGGGAGGAATGGCGGCACACGGAAGATGCAGAATGGCCGCAACGGAGGTAGGAAGAAGGAGGGTGGACGGAGGATGATTGGCATGACGGAAAATGGGAGGAAGGAGGACGGAGGATAACGCACTACTCTGCTCGAAATGAGTGATGAAGCCCAAAAGAAAAAGAAAAAGAAGGGGGCTGGGGGGAGGGCTGGGGGTGGAAGTCCGAGGGAGGGGGAAGGAGCGAGGAATGGCGGACGGGGGATGGAAGGTCGAAGAACGGCGGACGAGGGAGGAAGGAGAAAGGAGGCGGGAGGAAGGTGACGCAGGAGGACGGAGGTATGGCGGAAGCAGGAGGAAGGAGGAGAAAGGAGGTGGGAGATAGGTGGCGCGAGGAGGAGGGAAGTATGGCAGGCGGTGGAGCGAAGAAGGAGAAAGGAGGTCGGAGAAAGGTTGCTGGTGGAGGACGGACGGCCGAAGGTAGAGGGTAGAAGGAGGAGGGAGGAGGGACAATGGAGGGAGGACGGACGATGGAGGAAGGAGATGAGGGAGAGGTGGAGATTCAGAGGAGGTGAGAGAGAATGTGCCAACAAATTGGAAATATTGCCTTCATGGAAAACAGAAGAAGAAAAGGAAAAGTCGAGGAGAGAGGAAGGAGGGAAGACAAAGGTGGTACAGATTCAATGAATGGAGGATGGACGATGGAGGAAAGTGGGAGGAGGTGGGAGAATCGACGATGGAGCGAGGATGGAAAATGGAGCGAGGATGGACGATGGAGGAGGCCGGTAGGAGGAGGGCGTGACGGCGGGGAGAGAGAGAGAGAGAGAGGGAGGGAGGGAGGAAGGGAGGGAGGCAGGGAGGGAGGGAGTTAGGGAGGGCTGGTGGTCACCCACGTGCTCTGCTGTCCTCCTTGACTCCAGCCGCTCCCCCTACGTGACGGCGCTGCCTGCTGTCGCTGCCGCTGCCCGCTCAGTTCGGTCGCCAGCTATGGAGGAAGAGGCTGGAACCACAGAGTGAGGGCGAAGGATGGCGCTGCGCTGGTGGGACGACGCCGATAGCTCCAAGTACGACAGACGTCCAAATGGCGCCCAACGGTAAGAAGATGGTCTGCCCGGCAGGGGTCCACGCAATGCCAACTTCGAAACTACTCGAATTCAAAGTTGGCTTCCTCTGTAAGAAAAAAAAAAAAAAAAAAAAGTTGGCTTCCTCTTCCCGCAAAATTGTGGTCGGCTCTTGGCGCGGGCGGGGGAAAAAAAGTTGCGGCCCGTTGGACCTTTTGCTCTTTTGTTTTTTTCCTTTAACAATTCATCAATTCATTCCGAAAATAGCAGCGGGCCAGCAGGGGCACGGCTCCACTAGCAGGCGGGTAAGGTATAAGCGTGCAACAGGACCACGACCAGGAGTGCGACACTGCACGACCATTGGTGATGGGAGATCGCACGGCAGCAAGAAATCCTTTCTTTTTTTTTTTTGAAAAGGGCGACGGCCTTGACCTGCCCTAGGTAATTCAGAATTATTTTTATTTTTATTTTATTTTTTTCCACTTCCGCAGGTTCACCTACGGAGAGCTGGGGCCTCGCTGCACTACTCTCGAAATGTGCAAAACGAGAGGGAATCTTCGCCTAGAATATGGAAAGATACACCGCCATGATTTTTGTCCGTTGTGCATGTCCAGAGCAGCGAGGCCCCTTGTTCCTCTAAATGATAAGGTTCAATGAACTTCTCACAGCACCCCCGCGGCAAACCGCCGAGATCACCGCATTCTCGTGTCATCAGAGGAGGCATACGCCGTCGCTGCAAGCACAGATTCTGACTGGGTCAGATCCCTGGATTATTCATTTTTCACCCTCGAAAACGAGCATCAACGGTCAGAAGTGAACAATAGGGGCTAGTGGGATCTGCCCTTTAGAGGCGTTCAGTCGTAATCCCACGCACGGTAACGCACGCAAGTGACATTCAGGAGGTCGGGGGCTCCCCATTCGCCTCATGTACCTTCCTGGGCATGCTTGGCGCCCGCCACCTAGAGATAGACCACTGGATCCCCCGATCGGAATTGAGCAGAGTCTGCTGATGTTCGTAGGGGAGGGGACTTGAGGGGAGGCAAAGGGATTGATCCTGTTGGCATGGTCCCTGATGCTACCGGCTGTCCCCTAGCCGGTATCGCCCACCTGCAAGTCGGGAGCAGCCCCCGCATGTTCTCTCGGGAACACGGTTCTGGCTGCTACGGGGTTCCCCATATGCCTACAATTAGTAGTGCTAGGTAGGTAGTGTGAGGTGAAATTGAGAGAAGAGGGGGGGGGTCGGCCGGCGACGGGCGCTGCGGCTGGCGGCTACGCTCGGTCCCCGCGCTGCTTACCGGTTCGTCCCGGTAAGCCTGTCTGGCGGCGGGCATTTTCAACGTGAAAGCGCTTCCGTAGGTGATATCTCCTTTCCTTTCGCGTTGACGAAAGGATATGGTGGATTACCATAGGGACATTATCAGCAGACAGTTATGTCCTCGATGAAACTCCCTCTCACTGCTGTTATTGCCGTTCAAACTGCGTGTAGTTGTTTGTGAAAGTTTCCTTACGAACTTTGGCTAGTGAAGGTGAAGCGTAGTGGTGTAGGTGAAGGTCAACATGGAGCCAGAAACGTCACCTCGGAGGGAGCAAGATGCTAGGGCTCAAGTCCCCGGTAATTACCAGCTGGAGGAAGATAGGTTGAAGGAGATGATTCGAGCGTGTTATGAGGAGGGGATACTCCCAACCAACATCGATTCAGGTGAAATGGAGGTGGATAGGAGGGAAGTCAAGTTTGTGTTGAACGGCACCATGGATGAGATCAAGGTGAAATGGTTAAAAGCTAGAACGGTTACTATCATTTTCGGGACAGACCTCGCTTCCTCCCGAAAAAAAGTCAAGGAGGATTTGGTTCGTGCCTATGAGGATGTTTGGATCCGCGAGGAGACGTTTGGACAAGAGTTTAGAAGGGGGAGAATCAAGGTTGAAAGTCTGAACGTTGTGTCGTACATCCCAAGAGCTCAAGAAATCACTGACTGGATGTTGGCAAAGCGATCGGACTTTATAGACCTTGGTAACGTTACCTATTGTACGGAGTGTAAGTCGTGGATGACAAGAGCGGAGGTACGAGATTGGAGGCGGACTGTGGATGAGAATGTCTTTTGGGTGGTGGCGGTAGGTGTACCGTTGGATGAGATGGTGTTCATCTATGTACATGTGGAAAAAGGAATTGGCAAAATTATTAAGCACCATCAGCCGGAAGCAGACGAGACCGACCCAAAGTTGGTTAATCTCCGATTCGATCTCGATCCAGCAGCAAAGGCGAATATGAAGGATAAAATTTGGGTGCAAACCCACCAAGGAGATTTGTTGGACGTTCGAATGGCTTTTGCAGAGACAGATTGGTGTAGAAGATGTCGAACATTTTTCCACCTGGAGGACATATGCAAACGCAGTGATCGGAGAAATCGGGGCGAATCAATATCAAGACCACAATAGGCTTCTTCATCTCAAGGCATGGGAGGGCCCTCTCGTTTGCTGTATCAGGGCCCTCTTAGGGTTCCAGGTGCGACTACTCGTCAAGGCGGCTCTACCAACTCATTTGCTCCCGGGGTTAGTGTGCACCCAACAGTTCAGTCTGGAGTCCCACCTGGAACGGCTTCTCAGCTCAACCCGATTTTCTGTCCAAGCGCAGGTCAACCACCGCAGGGTTCTATGCTTCCTAACAACATGGCACCGGGTCAATCAAACCCGTGGGCGGCCTTCTTTCAGAACATGCCGATGCATCCCTACTTATGCAACAAGCTCAAGCACAAGTCGATCTGCCTCTGATGGGCAGTCCTTCCTTTATCAATCTTTAGACGTACGCTCCGTGGAACCAGCTACTTGGAGGCCAAGGAGGCCTTAATGTGGGTGGTGTACCAAGAGCAAATAGCACAACTGGCACATCGTTGGAGCGACTGGGTCTTCGGGGGGAATCCCCCAGCAAACAGAGACGAATGAATGATTCAGGCGGGTTTAACGTCCAAGTGGACGGGCTTCGGCCTGATCCGTCGGCCTCATCTAGCGAAGGCTCATTTCACTCTCTTGTTTCAGGGGATCCACGTGGCAATGCCACATCAGCAGGTAAGCGCAAATCGAATCGCCTTCACACAAAAACGTTATTGAAGGGTCAATCAGGGATAGAAACCAAACTCTTACCTATAGTGTGTGTGTGCGTTAGGAATGTCTTTTGGGTTGTGGCTTGGAGTGGGTCAGATGGTATACCATGTCTTTTTAGTACCTCATGTCCAGATCCGCCTATGCCCCATGCAACCGAGTCAATGACACTCACCCTTTTCCAAAATAAATTCGCTCTGCGAATTATTGCGGAGGTGTCTATACCTAGGTTTTTGGTGGACATCTCAGGTAAACGAGTGAAGTTTTTCGCCCCTCTCTTTGATGGTCGTTTCGTGTCAGGCCAGCTGGTACAGCTGGAAGTTGAGGGGCTCCGTCTTATCCCGTTCGGTTGGTTCCTGGAAGCCAAGAAACCGAATTTCCGCCGTATTCAAGTCTCCCCAGTTCTAACTGAAGAATTTCTCTCTGAACTGAATGGTAAGCTCCTCAAAGAGCGCAAATTGGATTCACCGTTCGTTAAACAGGCTCTCACTGACCCATGGCCGGTAATCCAAGTCCCGATTCAACAAGTGACCCATATCCAACAACCCGCGGGGGCAGCTTCGGTAAATGGGTAAATTAAATATTGCCACGTGGAATGTCCGTGGATTGGGGAACGCAGCAGGGAGAAATAAGCGAGGTAGGTTGAAAAGTTGGATCCACGAGAATAGATTGGATATTGCGTGTATTTAGAAGACTAAGTTATCGGAAGATAAGATCGAAGAATTGGGGGCTTGGTGGGATGGACCTCAGATATGGTCCCCAGCTATGGGATCGAGGGGGGGGATGACAATTCTTCTTCATAGGAACTCAAATCTGGACATTATCGATTATTGCAGAGATCTATGAGGTAGATGGGCGTGGATAAAATTATGCATCAAAACCTACGAATGAATTGTGGCTACAGTGTATGCTCCGGTTGACCGCTTTGACCGCAAACGAATGTTCTATGACCTGCCCTCTCTGATTCCAAGTTGTGAGAACTTGGTTATAGCAGGGGACTGGAATATGTCCTTGGATAACCAGGGGGAAGTGAGAGGTCATTCAGACGTAATGGTATTGGTAGAGTTGATGTCGGAGCTCGACCTTGTGGAACCTTATCGGCTCATGCACCCGGATTCCCTCGAATGCACTTGGTTCTCAAACGAACGAGAAGGTATAGGTATTATCCATAGGCGTTTGGATGTTTTTCTTACCTCTGTGGAATCATGGAATGCTATAGTGAAAGTGGAGGAATCCCTTCACCCTATGTCAGACCACAAGCTGGTTATGACCACCTTTAATGCGATGAAACCCTCAAGGGGCCAGGACTATTTCAGGGTAAATATGCAGATTCTGAAAGATCCAAGGATTGTTGACTGAATGACTCATTTTTGGGATGATTGGAATGCAAATGCTGAATGGTGGGATGCGGGATCTCGTATTCTGTCAAAAGATCTGAACGTTTTTTCTCGCATTTTAGCAACAGGTCGTAAAAAACAGGAGCTCGCGTTAATTAGGAAAATCCAATACGCCGAGAATCGAATGAATGCCCATCCCATCTCCAATCTGGTATGGGGCCCAATCAGAGCCCGCCTGATGACAGAATGGGATTCGCTTCAACAGTTACAGTCAGATGTTTGGGCGGAACGCCTTAAAGTGAAAAAGATAGTTGTCTATGATCGTATGACGCGTGAGTCCTTCCAACGGCTTCTGCCAAAAAAACTTTCCCTGCAGATGTGTGAATTGTCCCACCCCTTTGACCATTTTATGCCGCAGGCTCGGGAGCAAGGCACATTGTGTGAATATGCCTCCTTGTATTACCCGGATATCCTTACAACACGTTGCCTTTTGGAAGATATTAACACAGATCTGTCAGAAAATTCGTCTCATTGGGCGACCTTCTCTGCGAAATTGCCCACACATGGTAAACTGGATCTGGATCGTTCAATCACGACAGAAGAAGCCTACACAGCGTTACATGTTATGGCTAAAAGGAAAGCCCCGGGAGACGATGGCCTCCCAGTTGACGTGTATTTGTTAATTTGGGACTCAGTTAAAGATGTCATGATCGAGATATATAATAATGTGTTAACAGGAGGTTGTTTATCAAAAGGCATGCGTAACGGTATTATTTCATTTCTGTACAAGAAAGGAGATAAATCTGAGATTCGCAACTGACATCCGATCTCGGTATTCAATGTTTCATATAAGCTTTTGGCTAAAATTCTAGCCAGAAGACTGGGAAGGTATTTACCCACTTTGGTAGGTTCTGACCAAACCGCATTTGTACCGAACCGATTAATATTTGACAATATCATCACCGCAATTGAAGCATTGGAATTGGTTCAAACCAAGGTACTGGACATATCTGTCCTTTTGCTGGATCTTCAAAAGATGTATGATAGGGTTAATTCGACATATGTCCTGACCACCCTACGTCATCTCGGTTTTGGGGATAACCTATGCAGATGGGTTGTAGCTTTATATTCTCAATCGACTGTTGTTGTCATGGCAAATGGTTACTGTTCCTAGCAGTTTGCTCTCACCCGCTCTCTAAGACAGGGATGCCCACTCGCTCCATTGCTCTTTGTACTTCAGATGGAAAACCTCCTCTGCAACATTCGGGCTCAGGCAGATATAGAAGGATTAAAGGCTGGCCCAACTCACTGCAAAGTTATGACCCTGACTGACGACTTGTTCGCAATCTCACAAAATACAACTCGTTCTTTGCAAGCTCTTAAATTTTGTTTAGATGAGTATTCGAAGTTGTCAGAAGCCTCGGTTAATTGGGCTAAGTCGTTTTTTTTTCTCCCCAGTCAATTTAACCCAGTTGCTAACTGGGGAATGAAATGCATTGAAGCAGATACGTCATGGGATTCAAGTATCCCTGTTGTCGTGCTCAATTGACCAAGAGGGAGTTCTCCTCGAGAAGGTGGTGCAAAGAATCACCCTGTGGGGAAAAACTCCCCATTTGTCTATGTATGGGCGAGTGATGGTAATCAACGACGCTTTGTTTGCTTTGTTGTGGTTTGTGGCTGCTGTAAGACCCTTAGGCAAACATCTGTGTACTCTAATTAGACGTCGGGCGACTAAGTTTGTTTGGAAGCCATATGCTTCCCATCAGGAGACAGTCATGTCAAAGGTAGCCTTGGACCTGCTAACTTTCACAAAGTCAGAAGGAGGTCTAGGTCTGAATGACCCTCAACGCAGAAGCATGGCTATACTTGTTCGTTGGTTCATTAAAGTCATAAGTGCACTGCAACCAACCCATTGGATCATCTTTGCAGAAACCATTATAGCTAATGAATGAAATCTGTCTCGCTCCGCAAACGTATGGACCTGCTTCCTGCTGCCGTCATACTAGAATAGAAACATTAAGTTTGACTTCTGGAAAGCAGTCATGTATGCATGGAAGCGGTTGAAACCTGACTCTTGGCTCTCCCCTGTCACAAGGACAAAAGTCCTGCTGCAACCCATTTTTTAGAATCCTCGTATCAGAAGAGCAGACGGCTCCTGGTTTGGGGCGGATTCAACCCGCAATAGCTTTGGGCGCAGTTGGATTGAACATGGGGTCCTCAGACTCGCTGACTTGTGGAATAATTAGAATGGCAATGGCTCTCCCCAGCGGCCCTGCGGGAATTTTTAGGGCCCTGCTAGTTTGTAGAGGAACGTTTTTCAGAGATTCTTGATCCCCTTCCACTAGAATGGAAGGTCTTGTTGAACCCTAAGGGCATCGACCCCCCCGGTACTTGGCACATTTCCAAAAGTCCGGACCTGTCCCCTACATTTTGGAAACTCACTAGTATCGATAGTATAGGCAGAAGAGAATTCCAGAAGTGGGTGGGTATGAATGTGCAATGTCCTTCGACTCTGATTGAATTGGAATCTTCTTGCCAACACCCCTTGGGTGTTCAACTGTCACAAGTTAGAGTCTGGGAACAATGCAATGAAGAAGGAAGCTGGACATGTCAAGTGCACGCTCAAGGTAGGCCTTTGAAGGATTTAAACTTGGACCCAAAGATGTGTGGGTGGAAGGGAAAAGGACAAGGAGGAGAAGACTTGCCACTGATTTCATATTCAGTAGATCTGGGATAGTAAGCTCAGACTCCGGGTAAAACTCCAATGTCGGTGGCGGTGATTCGGTGGACTCAAGTCTTAGATGTCCACCCACAAGTAATCGAACATCAACTATTACGCTGCTAGGAACAATTGGCAGATTTCCCCTGTCCCAGGTTGGCAGTTAACTTGTGGCTACTATCTCTCTTATCTACCCCATCAGCGGTTAATCTTGCACAGAGGGGAATTAAGGTAGACTTGACTTGCAGTAGATGTAATTAGGCCTACGTATCTAATCCTCATCTGTGGTATGACTGCCCTGCCTCTAAGCGGGTATGGGTTTGGTGGGCTAAGCAATGGGAATTACTGATGGGCCCAGGACTTAGTTGGGACAGAGAGTGGGCCCTCTTGGGCGGTATTCCAAACACTCTGGATATCAGTAAGGGAGTAGGGTATATAACCTAGGTGGCTAGGGAGGTCTGTTGTGCGGTGATTTGGAAGAGCAGGAACTTGTCAATTTTTTAGGGTAGAAAAATGACGAACAAGGAACTGAGACATATGTCTCGTTCCTCATTAAGACGAATTGTTCATGTGGATTGGAGAAGGAAAGTCAGGGAGGGTTGGTCCAATTGGTTCGGGACTACATGGGGTGTAGGGGGTAGGCTTACGAGCTCTGAGAACGGGAAGTTGACCCTGAATAGTTGGTTTTGGGAAGATTAGGTAACAAATCTTGAACCTGCACACTCGGTTCCTTTATCCGCAGGAGGATGGCAGTCGGGAGGGAATGCGGAGGGAGTTGTGTCTGAACCCCGTCCGGTCCGGGGGTCCGGAGCTGCCGTGTTAGGCAGCACCCGTTTAGATAGGAAAGCATTGTTAGGGTAGCTAGTTATAGGATAGCAAGGTGGGGGGGGGTTGGTTTTGTCATCTGCCGTCTTTTAGGCGTGTTGTCTTTGTTTTCAGCTGGGGGTTCAGAATTGCCGGGTTAGGCAACACTGTTTAGATAGTGTCTTGTTGCTAGGGTAGCTAGTAGATAGGAAAGTGGATTGGGGGAGTTTCTTATGGTTTGTTTTTGGAATTTGATGTTTTGTTTCTTGTTGGATTGTGAGGCGTTGTGGGCTTGTAGTTTTTTTTTGTTGCAGGGTCTGATTCTTCAGGACAGTGGCCTATGAGTTGGTCGTTCTGTGCCAGACTTTTTTCAACCCTGTCCAGTTGCTAAATTGGAGCATGTGGTTGCTCGCTGGCTATGCCTGTAAGCTAAGTTGGCTGATGCTGCTAGATTCTCCGGGTTGAATTGTGAGGACCCCGACCCCTGGTTATTTGGCAATATAATGGATTCCATTAAAAAAAATAATAATTAAAAAAATTGAGCGAAGAAGTTTGACGACCGACTTACCTTATCGCACCCCTCTAACGACGAATGATGTTTCCAGAAAACCCCTGGCGTCGTTTGGGCCTGAACCATGTTTCATATGCCCCTACCGTTACCAATACCAAATTTTTCGTATGCCCCTACCGGATGGCTGTTGAGAACGAGCACAAAAGTTTGCCATATGCCCTTATTGGTACCGTCCATCTTTCCAGCGAGCCCCTGTGGCCGTTGTTGACACTCGCGGTCTTTCCCGTGGCCACGGCTGCGATGCTACCGCGGCATATCATAAATTTGGTGATGAGCATGGATATACACGCACACACACACGCGCACACACATACACACACACACACACACACACATACACACACACAAGCGCGCACACGCACACACACCACACATATACGCACACGCGCGCACACACACACACACACACACACACACACACACACACACACACAAACACACATAAAGAGTATTACAAATGCGGGCGCGTGCTTGGGCGATGACACCAATAAGACGACCATGGTGATGGTTAGGAGGTCGACAATCGAGGAGGAGGAGAAGGAGGGGTAACGAGGAGGAAGTTGGAGGAGGGAGGAACGAGGGAAGAGGAGGGGAAGAGGAGTAGGGAGGACAAGGACTCTGACGATGATGAGAGGAAAGCAACGAGGCCGGAGGAGGAGGAGGGAGGAGGGCAATGAGCATGGATGGAGAAGGAGGGAGGAGGGCGATGAGCATGGACACACACACACACACGCGCGCATGTTCCCCTTCGCACAGTAGCCGTATGCACTCCGACGCATCGATCACCCACGCTGCGAACTCCAAGACTCACTGCTGCACCGTTTTTTGTGGCAGCGCGTGAAATGCATACCACTTCAAATTCGAATTTATGTTGCCACTGCTGCAAGGGCATCACAGAAAGATGTGTGCCCCTCGTGAGGGCATTTAAAGGACGGACCAACGAAACGACACTAGCGGTCCAGTAAGGGCATATCGGAAAGTTATGCCCCATGTTGACAGGGGCCTGCAAAAAAATTAAGAAGCCCGAGGGGCACCACAAGGTAAGTCGGCCTTCACAGGGGCACGCCGCAAATAAACGCAAACTTCGGGGACGTTTTGAAAATCCCCCC